TGAATATTGCTGACGGTGCCATCTTGGAGTACACTTCATGCGGAGTTTCTCCGTTTAACTCGCCGCTCCCCACCCCCGTCATCCTTGTTTTTCATCATCCATCTTTTATCGCGGTTCCCCCGGCTTTCATAACCGATTCGATCGGCGGCGGAGGTGTCGTCGTCGCGGAGGACACGCAGGTGATCGGACACGAGCTCGCTAACGTCCCCCGCGGTGGCCATCGCCGGACGTAAATAGCTGCGATCGGTTTTACGGCTCTTTTACGGTTACAGTCGATTTAACGCGCACCTGGCCATCGTCTGGTGTACCCGATCGACGCGAGTTTCGAGCTGTGGCGAATCGAGCGCGGTTCTCGATCGGCTCGAGCGGATGCGAAAATCGATGTTTCAGAGTGGTGTGTGGAATCGGATTTACCTTGTCGAATCCACGCTTTTGCAGTAGAGCTCATTTTTTTGTAAATTAAGTTCACCTTTGTGGGTGAAATTCAGCTTTCTGCGCTGAAACTCACCCTTTTGCGAATCAAATGCACCTTTCTGCGTCTCGAATTGACGCTATTGCACTAGAACTCATTCTTTTGTAAATCAAATTCATCAATGTTTCCTTTAGCTTTTTTCAAAGTAGACAAATCTCCGAGCACAAACGCTAGTGAAATTAATAATTAAATACCCAGTGGATTTCGTCTTTTCCCAAACGGCTGCGAGCAAATTGAAAACTCACGCGATCGTGCAAATTACTGGATTGAGAGTCCGATGAAGTTACCCGAGACGTGACGAAATCCTAAATTACGTCTTGCGGTTTCGCAGTTAAATCTACCATTAAGTTACCAGCGAAGAGGAAAATAAGACGAAAGTAGATCAGGGTTCCATTTCTTCGGGAACGATCACGAGATACAAGAACGGCACAGACGTAACGTGGATCTCCGGATTCAACTACCGATTCCTCGAGACCTCGTTTAGCACGTTCAATGGTAACAACATAAATATCAAGAAATTCGACGGGAAAAAGGTACTATTAAATTGTACTGCAACTTTAACTCATTCCAAAAATAATTCTGAAATAAATAGATTCTAAATTAAATTGTACTGTAACTTTAACTCGATCGAAAAATAATTCTGAAATAGAAAATACATTCTGCAAATCGATCGATGAATAGACAATGAATAATACAATCGTTGATGAACTCGTTAATAAATTTATTAATCGATCTCGAGCGGTTCAATTTTGTTCAGTGAACAAATACCAGTACAAAGGAACGCTTTCCGAGGATATTTAACAATTTGAGCGGAGCGATGTAAAAGTGGGCGTCACAAGAGGGTAATGATAAGGGGGCTATAAAGAAAAGCAGAGAAAAAGGATATCAGCGATTTTAGTAGACGATAACCACGCCATCAATGAACTATCGAACGCTGGGGTGTACCTCTGGCTCGACAATTAGCTTTTAATGTCCTCGTAGGAGTTTCCTAAGAGAAAGCAGTTTGGAAATTCGGTTCTTAATATATTTTCCGGCGAGTGAGAAAGTCACGTTCAGAGTAATTAAATCTCCCGTCTTAAGGCACGATGATCTCTATAAAAACGAAGTTCGACGACGCGAATGCTCGAAATAATCGAACGATACAACGCGTACTAACATCAGAAAATACTCACAAACCAAAGTTCATTAGTTTTCTTAAAATTCATTGAAATATTTAATATTAGAACTGGTGCAATATTGGAGCCTACAGAGTTCAAAGGGTTAATCATTCTAACTTCTAGATTTAGTGTTAACTTACGAGTTCCCAATTTAATGTCCCAATAACTTGCTACTCGAAGAACATCGTCCACGTCTCGTTCATTTAACAGAACGTTAAACATTTCCATTAAAATGTCGCCTGATGAGTGAAACAAAACTATTCCGTCAATCTTCCCAACTACGAAACCTGCTGCGTTTCTGCATGGCAACCGGTAAGACACCCGATATAAACAGAGAACACCCCATAGCCCGATGGAGAACGTTCAGACGAAGGTTCCGTCGAACATCCGTAGGATGCGGATGACAGGAATCCCGATAATGAGGGATCTTTGGCGAACCTAAGATTTATATGACGAGAGCGTACCTTACCGACGGATCGAGCCATAATGAAAGCGAATGAAGGGGGCCGGTTAGAGTGGTCGGGAACCGATTTTCAGTTGACGACCTCGAGAGTCGCCGATTGTTTTCCTTGCTTTTCCTCCCCTCCCTGTATTTTATTTATTCCCCGCGATCCTCACTTCCGGCGGGGGTTCGTTCGATTCTAATAACTTCCGTTCAAGGCCCGGTATCGATAATCCCATTGTCGAGTGGGTATCGAGAAAACTCCGAGCGCTGAATGGAGTGCCGCGCCACCGCGGGAGACTGCTAATGCACTGTCAACAATGGATCTCTCCGCAGGAAATCTCTTCCCCTCCGTCCCCCCGTTCCCGATGAATTCAAGCTGTACTGACTTCGATTACTTTGCCCCCGGATATCATGACACTTTCGCGCCGGGCAACCGCGATTTTTTAATCAAATTCCCCGCGGCACGGCCCGGTCGTTCGTCAGATTTATCAACGAATAATCCACCGTTTCGTCTCGGCCGCCGACGCTGGACAAATTACCCGGCACTCCTTTTCGCTGGATGTCTAAGGGTATATCCAGTCGCTGGAGGAAATATTTTTTCGGCCGCGAAAAGTCAATATACGCGGCGAAACGGCGGGAACGTTTCGTGGATGATTCGAGGGTTGCTGTATGATAGGGTGTATTTGAGATTGAAGGATCGAACGTTTAGCATGGATCCGATCGGTTTTCTCGATTGCTTCGCTCTGGTAATTCATGTCGATGTTTTCTAGCTTAACTTCTGTCTGTTGTAATTATAGAATTTCATTTATTGAAAGACGAATGGAAACGAGCTCGGAGGACAAGGTTGATTGTTCGATTTTCTGATTTTTGAGCCTACCCTTTGGAAAAATACTTTACTTTTCTAATTAATAAACCAATGTGGTAACACATTAAGTTTC